CACACACTCTATACAGACAATGCATATGACTGGCCTTGCGCCTGATTGAATTCCACTCAATATGCTAATATTGAGACATTTGTCCCAGAATTGCCACAAAATAGCAACAAGCTTCACAACCCAGTTGAGATTCTGCACTGGAGAAAGATACGGCAAATGAGGTCCATACAATTATCCACCACCACCACGCGGTTAATATTCTGTACTGGTCCAATTCTAGGCCAAACAATCATGCAATACGAGCTAACACACAGCAATGGGACATTGGAGTAATGAGAGGGCCGAGATTGGGTTCCAGATCTCTGTCAGTATTGAGATAGAAACTAAACTAAAACAAAATTGTTTAAGCTAAACTATTTTTTTTATTTTACCAGATAAGGCCCACTGAGCTAAAGACGGTCACTGCATCGCATGCTTTCAAATGCGCTTCTGCGGCTGTCTGGAACGCTCTTCCTTCCGATATTAGGAAGCCACAGCAAGAAAGGCACTTTTCAATCTAGATTGAAAACTAATTGCTCTGGAATTGCTTGTTGTGTTTAGTTTGTTGCCCTTCCCCCACACCTTCGATTGGCACGGCTGTCTTATGCACAGTATGAAAGAAGTTCAACATACATCCATACATATAGCTCTTTTTCAGAAGCGATCTGACCACAAATGACAGCTCAACGAAATTGCTTATCATGTGGAAATGTATCTCAGCCAAATACTCTAAATGCATGCTTCTAAATGTAGAGGAAAAAACCGGAGGGCCCGCAGAAAAATTCAAGCGAACACGGGGAGAACATGCAAACTCCAAATATACAGGTGCCAGAGTCGGTATGGAACCCACGACCTCCTTACACCAGGGGTGGTAGTTAACATCTCGCCACTGTGGTAATGTTCAGTTTTGGATAGAGGTCAGCATCTAGGCTAGTGTTTGGTTCAGGCTCTGATTCAGAGTTAGATTTATGGTTTAGGGTTATATATTTGTGAACAAAGTCCGGTCAATTATCTGGTTCAATATTATGACTCTCTGCAAGGGCAGGGCTGAGGTCAGTTCCGGGTCAATGTAAGCGGCCAGTTGCAGAGACATTTTAAGTATACTCAACTAATTTGAGTTATTGCAATCAGGACAATGGGCAAACAATCTCATGGTGTTTTCTGTATCCAGCCACTGTTCCGGGTCAATTATGGGCCAGAGACTGAATCAGAAATGATCTGGGTCATGATTAGATCAATGTCAGAATCTGGACCAGAACATGGGTTGGAGTCAGATCTTGGGTAAGTTTATATACCACAGTCATATTAGAGTTTAAATATCGGAGTGATTTCAAAGTTTATATGTCCGAGTCAATTTCAGGTCAGGGTCACAATCTGGGCCATGCCTGGTTTGCGGGCCAGGTTAAATGCATAACCTTAATCACGCGGGTCAGGTTCAAGTAATTCGGTCCATAATTCTTGTACAGAACCATGCCTGGGTGCGGGTCACGTTCAATTAATAACCGTGGTCGGGTCTGGACCAAGGGGGTCAGTATCAGGGTCATGCAGGGTCGAGAGACCCAACCACGCCAATGATTTAGGAATGGCCCGCTCCCAGCCCGTGGAGAAGCGGGTGGAGGGGGTGCTAGCGAGGAGTAACGGTGCCGGGGTGAACCCGCGTCGCCTCCGGCAGACTCGCTCCTGAGCCTCGGACACATGAACAGAGACACCGAGCACCAGCGAAAAGCAGCAGCGGCAGCACAATGAATGAAGCAGCAGCGGCGATGATGATGATGATGATACACGAGCTCTCAATGGGTCGCAGCGCACTAACAATGGGGGCCCCGTGGCCTGAGCGCTGGGTTAGGCGTCACTCACCGCGGAGAAGCGGGGAGCACGGGGCGAGGCTACATAGAGGATCTCACGCCGGCGACGACATGAGAGACGCTCTCCACCCCCCCTTGTATTTCGCTCGCTCTCTCAAACGCACACCTACACTCACCTACACACACACACATTTAAACACACACACACGAAATACACCGCCTCGCACGCGGGTGACGTCACGACGCGAGTTGCGCGGTGACGCCACGACGCAAGCTTGCGTCGTGGCGTCACCGCGCCGCGACACGCCTATCACCGAGCCAAAAACAAAACGTGCCGCGATGACGTGATCGCGTCGACAGCGTGCGTCATCGCGCCGAGGAGCGTCGCCCGTCTGGACGCCGGCACGCCGCCAACGTCATCGCGTAACGATTGGGCGCGAGACGACGTGATGATGTCACTCATGGAAAAGCCAGGGGACGTATGCGTCGTGATGTCACCACGTCGCCGCGTCTCCGAACCTCATGCACGAGATAAGCAAATCAACTTACTCGCAGTAGTGCGCGTGCCGATGGATGTTTGTTGTGTGGTAGTATAGCACTTTATTTTTTTGTTAATTAGAGGCAGATATATGTATATGCAGAAGACATTGCTTAGATAATAAAGTATTAAAGCTTTCGTGACTGCATAAAATTACTCATTGGTTTTTTCGGTAAAGTCACGTATGTAGAAATACAATAAAATTATATGAAATAGATGTTTTGCTATTTAACTGATTGTTTGGTTATTGTGCGTTGGCAGTGGTGCACGTTCACAATGATATACTCCACGACGCTAACTTTTGATTGTCTTCTGCACGTACAGATCGAAAAAAATGAATGTAACGGTACACGTACTTCTAGATTTGAAGTTTTCGTGACTGCAATGATCCATACTCTTTGGTTCTTTAGGTAAAGTCACGTAGGTAAAAAATATATAATAAATAAAAATTAAATCACAACGTTTTGGAGGCAACACAAACTTGCTTCATCAGGTGTAAAAAAAGCACAGTTATTTTGCTGTGCCTTTTTTTACACCTGATGATTTTATAATATTTATAAATTAATTAATTTTTTACCTACGTGACTTTACCTAAAGAACCAAAGAGTATGGATACACGTACTGAACGTGTCGGGTGGTTGGCCAGCTCTATCCCAGTAATCTGAAATGTTTTTACGATTCGGAGAAAAGTTGGGGCTATCTGAACATATGCAGGGCTATCTAAGGGGCCATCCATAAATGACGTCACGCACCTATCATCATCAGAGTGCAGAGGCACATTAAATACGCACTACAATGACGATATTTTAAAGCGATTTTAAGCATGTTTTTTTTTGGGGGGGGGCAGAGCTTTGTGACGTCATATTTGAGGGGGGTCTGACATTTTGTGACGTCGTGTGACGAAGGCGGGGGGGGGGGGTCAAAAATCGTCTAAAATCGCGTGACGTCATTTATGGACGGCCCCGAAGCAGTCGACGGAGATACCTGGGCAGTAGGCGGAGCTATCCGATTAATGGGCGGGGGCTACCTGGCAAGTGGGCGGAGCTACATGACCAGTGGGCGGGGTCTATGGAGTAGGCGGAGCTACTGTGTGCGGAGGAGATAGGTGCAAACTCTGCTTATACGGTATGCGTCAGGGTCGGATCGGGATCGAACCCACCGCACCTCCTGTATACCAGGCGAGGGAGATAACATCTCCTAGCCACCGCGGCGCCCCAACATTGTCATCATCATCCATGATCAAATCCACAAGGCTCTGCCCCCCAAAACCATATTTCCATTTTGAAAATAAAACATGCTTCAAATCGCTGATGTTGTAGGAGAAAACATTTATTAAAAAGTCATAACCATTGACTGATTACCAATAGATTATATATCGATTATATAATTACTGCACCTGAATGAGTTAAATGATGACGTCACTCTGCTGCTCTATTTAAGACCGGGAGCAAGTGAGGGCTTTACCATTCTGGCGAATTGCCCGATGATGCTGGATGTAATTACCAGCGAAACGTCGTACTCAAACTGTAAATGTTGTGGATTCACTCTTCAACACACCGGTGGGCTAAAGTAGTGAACTATTTTGTCTTTTGTCAACGTGACACTTTTTTTGCTGATTGGCCGTGTCGGGTGGTGGAGGGTTACGACACATTTATAAATAACGCGATCCAACCCAAAAACCTTTATGATTAAAAAATCTATTTAATTAAGTAGAACGTGTTGTCTATATTTAAAGTTGCGAATTTTGATGTGACGTCACATTTCTCAAACCCCCCCTCGTTACACATCGTCACATGTCTGCCCCCCACCCCCTAGGTGCGTGACGTCATTTATGGACGGCCCCTTACACGCCGTCTCTCACACGGGCCAATTTTCCATTTATAGTTCCATTTATTTGGTATAGCCCTGTGAGCCATTCGGCTCTTGAATTGGGTGCAACCGCAACAAACAAGAAACACGAACAAGAAAACATCTCAAAGTGACTATGTGACTGTGCAAACAGAAAATCCAGGAAAAAAAAACATTAAAAATATTCCTGAAATAGCACCGTACACCAACGCTGTGTGCAAAAATCCCAGTGGGATGCAAGTCAAACAACACAAGACAACTAAGATTAAGGCCATCAGTCTAACTCCGTACTACAATAAACAAAAACATGGCCAAACCAAAACACGTTTTCACCAAAATAAAGCCATAAATGCGTTGGCTTCGAGATCCTCCGTGCACCTTGCACGCCTCGACTGGGCGCGTCATCGAGGACGCAATTACGTACTCGACGTCATCGCGTCACGTGCAGTCACCGCCAGCGCGTTGACGTCACCACCATGACACGCAGCTCACCTGGGTTCCGTCGTGCTGTGCCCACGCGGGACCATCGACGTCATTACGCACCATTCGCCAAGCGCTGAGCATCGTCGCGTGACGTCGCCACGCAGCGTGCGCGACTGCGTCATCGCCAGTGCGGCGTAACGGTCTCCTGACAGCCCTTTACCTGGGCTCCATCGTGACGTAATTGACGTGGACTGTGACGTCAGCGCTGAACAACGTCGCGTGACGTCACCACGCAACGCTCGCGAATACGTCACCGCAAGCGCAAGGGCGATCCCTCGCCTGCACGTTACCTGGGTTGCGTCGTGACGTCAGCCGCGCAACGTTCGTCCCCCAACGACGAGCGCAGCGCGCGTGACGTCGTCCACGCAGCGTGCGCGATGACGTCACACCATCGGTTCACCTCGCAGGTGCGATCCTGCGTCGAGGCTGCGGTGGTGGTTGTTGTTGGTTGTTGGTGGTGGGGGCACGCAGAGAGGAGGAAGAGCGACGACAAACGATGTCGGAGAGCAGCGGGGCTCGCGTGTGCTTCGAGGCGGAGGCGGGCGCCGAAGAGGAAGGAGAGTGCGAGGGGGAGGAGGAGGAGGATGCCGGGGCTGGCGCATCGGGCCGCAGGCAGGGCAAGGTGACGGTGAAGTATAACCGCCGGGAGCTGCAGCGCCGCCTCGACCTGGAGGGCTGGGTGGACGAGAGGCTCACGCAGCTCTACGCCTGCCCCGTGAGACTCGCTCTCCACTCGCCCACCTGCCCAACCAACACAGTTCCACCCCCGTGGGGGGCTCGGGGGGTGGTGGTGAGGATCTTTACACACCGGCCCACAATGGGTGAAGTGTCAGGGGTAAACGACTTCGTTTGACCGTGACATTTTTATTGGCGCGCTGTTTGTCAGTTTGGGTAAAGTCACGTAGGTATAAATAAATTAAATCATCACGTAGGTATAAAATAATTCATCACGTAGGTATAAAATAAATCATCACGTAGGTATAAAATAAAATAAATCATCACGTAGGTATAAAATAAATAAATCATCACGTAGGTATCAAATAAAATAAATCATCACGTAGGTATAAAACAAATCATCACGTAGGTATAAAATAAATTATCACGTAGGTATAAAATACATTAAATTAAATCATCACGTAGGTATAAAATAAAATAAATCACTGATTTTATTTATTTTGTACCTACGTGGCTTTACCCAAACTGACAAACCTTTAGAACCAAAGAGTATGGATCCCTGCAGTCACGAAAACTTCAAATATAGATTGTTTATCAGTTGTTGGTTAAGGCCGGGATGATAGAAACCCAGTACAAGGGGGTGGGTCCAGATGTCTTGTGACCCCCCCCCCCTTTTTTAATTCACTAAAACTTTATTTTATTTTAATAGTAAGGTTAATTTAAAAGGCCCACTGGAGCTATTATAGCTCGTATTTCAGAAGCGACCTGGCCACAGATGATAGCTCAACGAAGCGGCTTAATCACCATGTGGACATTTGTAGCAGCCCAAATATTGTTAACGCGTGGCGATGTTAATCTTAATTGTGGAGGGGGGAAAACGGCGACTACGGGAAGAGTGAGACACGCAAACTCCAAATATACAGCTGGCGTCGATTTTATACCGGTTAAAGAACCGTATACATTGTGAACTTAGAGAAATAAATTGTCACCGATAATTTCATTGGGAAGGTAGCCCATTCATTACGACGCTATACAAGTGAAGACCAGATGGCCAGTTATGGTGCACTTCATCATTCCTTTACAGGTCTTGTACAAGCTACACAATTGGGCTATTCCGTGGTTACACGCAGTGGCCTGCACATGCACATAATCTCGCTATCTTTAACCTCCGCTTTACTGCCGAACGGCGGTGGCTGTGTTTAAATTTAGAGGCGAATAAAGCGCTTATGCGCATCACAAAGTCAGCTGGCTACAATTTACGCACCCTAAGCCTGATTCGATGTAAATGTAAGACTAATTGATTTGTGTCTAAATAGCAAATCGAAGTTAAGTAAAATACACCAAGGTCTTGCATATTTTTTGGAGATTCACAGCTGCATTTACGTGAATTACACGTATTTGCATTACTTGGGCTCTTTGTAAATATTTGTCTACGTGGAGACATTAACACGAGCAGCGGAGAACATGGCTTGTAATTGTATGTAATCCTGTTGAAGTGAATGAGAGCAGTATTGACTTGCAATCCATAAAAACTGTCACCGAGTGAGCATTTCCTTGAGAGAGCAGTATGGAAGTTGAATAATTTAATGCATGGATTGTATGGCTTGGTGTGGCGTTCTGGGTTAAAGTGCAACCGTGGTTCACTGTTTCTCATTACGGTGCTGAGTTTAGTTGCGTTCCGATGCAAACATTTCAAAACAAACTTCATGTGGAATGGATCAAGGAAGATTCGATACTCCAGACCATGATACACGCATCACATTTACCGTTTAAGAACCGTCCTTTACCATTCGTATATGTTGCGTGTTATGGGTTAATGTCACCCCTCGAGCCAAGATATAATTTAGAAAATATGTGACAATCATTCACAACCCTTTTGTAAATCCAGCACTGGATGAAAGCCTCCCGAGGCTGTGTCGGTCATAGGAGTGGTGTTTGAACGTAGATCACCAAGCCAGTCGGTGTGAAGTTGAAAGGAAATTGACTTAGATATCACTCGTCACTTGTGTCAGCCGTAACCGACAATCAAACTTTGATCATTGTGGCTGGGGTGAAAATTTACAAAACACCGTCTTAATGTGTCGTGATCTTTCAATCTTTAACGTGCTCGGAGTAGGTACGGTGCAAGCCTGCACGATGACTTCATGAAACATTCACGGTAGATTTTCTCACGCGATTGGACGTACAATTCGCCCATACAACTGACGTGTTTGTATAATCGGGCTTTTAAATGACCCTTGTGCTGTAAGTGGCGAGTGTTGTAATCCATCCCGCTTTGGATTGGCCATGGCTTTTTTGAAAAGCTTTACAGCCCCAGTTAATGTGTTTGCAGTGCTTATTACGGCTGTATCTATGCTCCCCCTCCATGATCACGTAACTTGTTACTTCAATGTCGACACTTAGTTCACTGTTCACTTGTTTTTGATGGCCTCGTGGTTCATATTGTATTGAATATGACCACAGTATTTTTTTACAAAGAAATCACAAAAAGCGTTGCACATGAATCAGAAATCACAGATTTTTTTACACACTAGATGGAACGTGCGTATCGTCGATGTAAAAATGATCTGATGGTGTTTATGGTCAATTGCCCCAATTTTATAACCACCCAGGCAATAGTGTCACGAGACCTAGAAAAGGCGCCATGATGCTACGCTTGTTATGAAACACGTGGCATTTGATTCTCTAACGTAGGGCTGTGTTGAGCAGAGCCTTGATAAGTTCAGCCAGTTTAATGGGTGCCTCAGTAACCTCTCGTTCTTTGCTGTGTTGAATTGTATTCTGACCATGTTCAGTTGTGAGTGGTGGAGGGGCAGTGCAGAAAAATCCACTGGAGTGCCTGGAAAAACCCCACTCAAATTTCACAGACTGCTTAGAAACTGTTAAACTCTCGAAACAATGTTTATTTTAACAACTCGTTTTCGGGAGAGACCTGGCCACAAATTATAGCTCAACGAAGTGAGGTGAAACTTTATAGCAGCCAAAAACACTCTTAAACTACTTAAGCCACTCTCGCCTTTCAGACACTGCATTTTCCATGCAGTGTTTCACTTTTGTAGGAGGCAACAGTAAAACGGAATTCGCAAGACACCCCAGGGGGGGCAATACTTTACTGGCAAAGGACTCGTGACTCAATGAGGCTTTCCTCCTGTGTGTGCTGCAGGAGGAAGAGATGCCGGAGCTGGAAATTGACATCGACCATCTCCTGGAGCTCAACACGGACGAGGAGAGGGCGGAGCAGCTACGGGTGAGCTCAGTGGAGTAACAACAACTACTTGAATTACTACTACCAGTAATGCTCAGCAAATCACCACTACTAACTACGGTGGTCACATGGCCAAGTGGCGGCATGCTTTTTGCAGAGGTCCAATGTTAGAATCCAGTGGCCGCCCTCATTAATACTCTACTTTTTAGTTGAAATGCTACGTGGCGTCTGCATCATAGTGGACGTTACAGATCATGCGAGCTGGCGTCATGGTTTGACCGCTTCATCGTCCCTAAAACTTGTCAGGACCCTCCTGAAAAAGAGTCACGAGGCTCAGGCTTTCCTGGGTAAACGAGCATAATAAATACAACAGCTATTAATGCTGTCTTTAGCACACTTGACGAGCAACCACTGTTTGATCTGGTGCAGCAGTTGAAACGATAGACAAGTTTATTTCAGCCTATCCTTGGATAGGCAGGCCCCCATCATAGAGATGTGCAGTTTGTTGGGATTCATGACTGTCAAGGGAGCTCCTTAAAAAGTATGAGCGTGGGTATATTTTTTGTTACAATGGACTCGCATACAGAATCAGCAGTCAAATGTTGACAAGTGTTCACCCACACTATTCTTGTAAAAACAGCCAAATTCACATTTTTTATTAAATCTTTTTTTCATGCCATTCCAGGAAATCTTACAGGCATGCGCCAACAGCCCAGAGGTGAGTTTAAACGTTGGCTTTTGCGAACAATATCTGTGAGGTTTTTGGGTTACATTGCGTACTCGAATGGTAAATGTTGTGAGTTTACTCCCCAACACACTGGTGTGCTGAACTAGTAACGAATAGGCATGTTTTGTTTACGTGACAAACCTTACTAATTGGCTATATCGGGTGGTTGGCGGTTTTAACGATGCATTTATATTTACACGATCGAACCCAGAAACCTATACTATGGAGTCCAGAGGTGAGTGCCACCTTGCTATTCGATATGTTGATGCCCCCCAGGGGCACAAGGAAGCAGCAGACAATGACTGGAACTGATAACTAATATGAAATCACGACACAGCCGTCTCGTGGTCGCGCGGACGTATAAACTAACGTGCCTCGTTGCAGGGGTTCATCGCGGATCTGCTGTCGAGCCTCAAAGGGATGAAGAAACTCAACAACGGCAGTCGGAAGTGATGGCTCCTGGGCTTCTACGGTCAAGCAGCTCACCCCCGGACTACAAGAATCCTGTAGTTAATGCGAATGGCGAACTCGTTGGGCGAATGGGCTTTTACAAGTAACCGGAGTGTCGCTTTAGTGTCTGGAAACTATGCAAACCCGCACGCACGTCTGGCATGCGAGAGGTGCCCGCTTGTTACCTGGGCCTGTGCTTCGTGTGCGTTGTGAGCCTTGCGTTTCGCAAGCTGGCCAAGGGAGAGCATGCTGGGTGCCGTGAGTTCCAAGGCGGTGGCTTATTGTTTAACGTCGGTCTTTGGGGCTCAGAAATATTAATGCTGTAGTTACACTTTTGCATTTTGCAACGGTGGTTTTAACGTTTTGGTTCGGTCACAGCACGGAATAGACATTTGTGTAGCACGTCGAGCTGAGCCGTCTCGAGCACAACTCGTATATTTGTAACTGTTTAACGTTAATGAATAATAAATCAGTTTTAACGACACTTGGACAACGTTAATGGCACGCAAGTTACTTAATCGCGTTACAAAATGCATAGCTTCAAATGAGACCGAAATCTTTTACGTTTAGCAGCAGGCAACAATGTGTGCGATTGCTTTTCGTGTTAAATGCATGACGGTGTTGACTCGTGTCGATTGGTCTATTTATAACGGAATGGTGTGCGCATGACCCCCGAGAAAAGATGTTTGGTTCCACGGTGGGGATCTGCCTCGCCACGTGGCAACGATCACGTGGCGCAGCCTCACGAGGTTCTGTACTCTTTTTTTTACCTCCACTAGAGTAGTGGTGATGATGGCGATGATTGGAAGCTCTGCTGCTTTTTTCAATTGAGCTTTGCACCCAGCGAGTGGGTCCAAATATGACCCGATCAACTTAAATGCTTCTAAGCTTGTCATATTTTGGGAGCTGAATAGAGTTGAGCCTGGTTAATATTTGACATGGATGACTACGTCAGGGTTTTCCAGGTGTTGTTGGCTTGGGGCTGTGAGATCGCCAGCAGTTGGCAGTGTTTTACCTCCTTGTATAACATTCCCTGTTGTTTTTTCTGGTGTTCTTTTTCCTTCCTACATGCCACTCAATCAATTATGGAACTGGCCAAACAACCCAATGGAGGAGCCTCCTGTAAAATGTTCCAAGTCGTTAAGGTCTTCTTGGGTAAAATATTGGCACGAGTACATTTAAAAATATTATCTGTTCTGTCATTCCCAGCCACTAAAGCCGGTGGCTGCCTGTAATGTGATGCAGAGATGCTGGTGCCCTCAGGCCTGCACTGACGTTTATTCATTGTGCATGTTGGATATATATCATGGGAAGGCCCACACATTTGAAAGAGGTGCAACGAGTAAGCACGACAAAGTCCCGCGGACACTAATCACAAGGCATCAAGTCTGCATTAACCACACGTGCATGTGGTAAAAAAAACGCAAACAAATATGCGTTGATAATGTATGCACTCTCCCTGAAACTGATTGGGTCTGCACCGGAGGTAGCCTCTCTTATGGCTTCGTCTCACTCGAGCTAGACCAAAGGCCGCCAAAAGGCGAGCAGTTACAAGGAGTAAGCAAACACCAAATCATTCATAGCTGGGGTTAAACAGTTATAGCTATAGGGGGGGGGACCCCCTTTCACCAGTATAAATACTCCTGTACAGCAGAAAGGGTAAATCGTTTTTTATTTGATGTCTTGATACTATTAACTACTTTTATTTTACCAGCTAAGGCCCACTGAGCTATATAGCTATTTTTCAGAAGCGGCCTGGCCATAAATGATGGCTCAACGAGAAGTGGCTTATCACGTAGAAATGTTTAGCAGCCAAATACACTAAACGCATGTTTCTAAATGTAGAGGGGAAAACCGGAGGACCCAGAGAAAAATACACGCGACCACGGGGAGAACATGCAAACTCCAAATATACAGGCGTAAGGGTTGGGATTGAACCCACGACCTGTACAACAGGCAAGGTAATTAACATCTCGCCACCGTGGCATACTGGAGAAAGGATCCCATAATTACGAGCAGTCCTTGTTGACACCTTTTTAGGCTATGTCCTGAGCTTTCTCACAAGTTTGAATTATTGTTCGGGAAAAAAAAACTAAAGTGATCAGGCATAATTCGGTAGATGAGTACTGTATTACAATGCATGGAGGTGATGTTACGAGATTGTTATCATGGTACGCAGAGGTGTAATGTCAGTTTTAATTAATGAAGCTTTAAACTCGTGTCAGACAGCCCAGGGTACATAGGCAAAGTAAATATATACCAGTTGGGTTTTTTTTGTTGCGTAAACAATAAAACAGGTTCCTGATCTTAGATACTTCGAGCATGTTTTTATGAATACTGTGACCTATATATTGTAGTTTACTTAAAATAATACATAGATGTACTACACACTGATTATGGAAACTATACAGACAACATCCATTTAGTGTATGTTTGCTGTAGATTACAATACTTTGGCTGTGGTTGAAAGTAATGTTGTCTTTAGATCTAGACTATACCGACGAATTGTAATTGATACGACTTCTTGAATGATATACACGGGTCAGACTTTAAAACATTTTACTGGCATTCTGCAAAATTGCAACGTGGCAAGAGATACTGAAACGGACTTATATTCATATTTGTTCGATGTAAGACGAGCATACAATTATCTGTAATGCAAATTACATTTAAGTTGCGAGCAGTGGGCAGTAGCTCACACTGCGCTATAGACCTGGTGCCCCAAATTCAATCTCTGGCCCATGGCTTACATTAGTCGTGAGCGACACGAACCAGGCCTGCAACCCCCTCCCAAAGCACTGAACTAATATTAAGATTTGAAAGGTCGGCGACCGTTCCCTGGTTGATAACATGCAATTGTTTAATTTACCTACAAGTATGTAACCTCTCATTGTCGGCCATTGCCCTTCAGCTTTGGTGCTGGGCACCTGCGAAAGAGCGTCATAGCATCGCGGGTTCCAGTACAAATAACATATCTATGTACACGACTTTGCATTGCACCTCACCCAATCGCCCCGATGTGTGGCTAAGCTTCACGAGCCACCGGCTCGCAATAGTGCACGTGGACATTCATTCAATGCGAGTAACACTGGCCCCTCATTCGTTGGGGGGGGGGGGGGGGGGTGTCCGGTGTTGTATTTCACTCATTCATTCTCGGTTTGTGTTGCATCGTCCTTTTTTATTTATGCAATAAATCACTCGACTCGTACTTCTGTTTGACCTTATGGACATCTTCAATGTGATTTTTAATGTAATGCAGTTCAGGACTGCCGAGTTTAGCTTGGTGCTATGTATACTGAAGTTTAATTTAGTTGCAGCAGCAGCATGTTTGCGAAGCCTAGATACCAACTGACACAAACCAACACACTTCACCGTACCCAACAACCGCCTAATCATAAACCACGTGAAAATATCGAATACCCCTTTCAAAAGCCAACATTCTATGAGGTAGGTATTACGTGTCGTTAACTCCCTTTAAAAACTCGGCGCGCACAACGACTTCGTATCACCTTCACGCGATGCGAAGCGCTTAGAGGCCGTACAATATCACACGGGTAAACAATTGCAAAAAAAATAAGCCGACACGCGCACGCATGGTGACCAACTAAAGAATGGGTGCCACATTTAAAATGTACGGTCAATTGTTTGCTTTGCATAGCAGCTGTACCTCTTTGAGAGATCGTCAGCACTTCTGATGCCCGGCTGCCACAAATTATGCAGAGGATTTTTTTTTAAATAACCCATTTATACACCTTCGAAACGTCAAGTGTTTCTCGGCTTAACCGGTGAATGTCACCATTTGTTTGCCTCGACAACTGCTCAATTGCCAACGAAAAAAAAAGGCGAAATAAAATCAATAGATATGTTTCGCTTCATTAAAATGTGGAGTGGATTATACACACCGCATCGTTAAGCCGTGTTACGTGCACTGCAAAAAAAATTAACCCCGGAAACATTGAGTGTAATTCCTTGGCCCCTGTGAATATTAGTAGCAACCGATATCCTAACTGATTCTGGGTTCTGGCCCCAACCCCTTCCTCGCTCCCGACTGCACCACAATCCCATACTGACCAGTGTGGAGAAGTATGGGCAAGCAATCTGCACGCCCGATACGGCACTGGGAGGGCCTTCATGCATCAGTAGAGCGGCGACAGAGCTGAACATTATTTTGCAATGCAGAGCACATTTGACCGGTTAGTTGCTTGTGTAAGGCTTTTGTGCAAGGCTCTACGGCTACTCCAGCATCATGCGAGAGCATTTTTTTAAATACGAAATCGTCCAGGAGTTTCGAAGAGCCATCCGTTGAAAAATGAAGGCCATGGTCAAAGGCAATGTGTTATCGAACCTATAAAAGTTTAAGTGCTACGATTTAAATGATAACATTGGCAAATCTGCGATAAAGTATACTTTCATAAACCCCTGTCAAACCCAAGGCGTCCATTTAACTATCCTAAGAACAAGAATTGGTGTAGGTGACAAAGCCTTTGCCGTTGTAACGTTTTGAAACCTTGTTACCTCCCTTAGTTTCGTAAATCTTCATTTAACAAAACATCCTGGAGAAAGATTAGTTCTGGATACAAACCACAGTTGAAAATGAGATGTGACATTGATCCTTGCCTGTGTACCGATAGTCACATTTTAATGTGCAATGTTGCTGAGGGACGACTGTGCGTTGTCTTGGTGTGGTCTGGGACAGTTTTTGTTGCCTTGCCCAAGATTGTATTTCGTGTTAAAAAAATCCGCAGTAATTGATGTACTTTTACAATTTCTAGTTACATCCTTATATTTATTTTTAGTGACTTGCTTACTTTTCCTATAATTTGCACTCCGTTTGTGTTGTTTTGTTGTTGTTGCAACTTTCTGACCCGCCCCCTTCTGGACATCTGTAGAAAAGTGCCTCATAGCTCATCGGAATCCTCCAGGATAAAGATTAGGATTGAATAAAAAAAGAAAATAACTTAACAGGAGTCCATTTCCCCAATATGTTGAATAGAGTAATATAAATTAGATTTATCAAACGCCTACGTGTTTGTATCGAGACGCCCAGTTAAGAAAACAACGCAGTGCCTTGTGAGGTTATCCAATGGTCTCTAACCGGGTTAACACACAACCTTGAGCTTGAACCAGGTTCTCGTAATGTAGCTGTGGGGGCCATACCCAGTTAAATAACCGACGACTAAAATATTTGTAAACATATCAGCGAACAAACGGTTTAGTGTTTACGAAGGGACACGCAACCCACAAGATGGGTCCTCGGGTACACGTACCAAGGGCGCGTGCCTTGGGCTGTTTGAAGCTTCTGGGTAATTACTATAAAGTGACGATTCCTAACGCGGCTCTCGTGACATTACCACATTGACATAATCCACTTGACGTTAGCAAGGAGGGCAGCCACACGAGATCTTTCTCATGCCACAGCTGGCCTCAAGGGGCCTCCAATATAGAGGGACGCTCGAGTGGGTGTCTTGGCCAGACGTCTTTGAAGACGTGGCAGTACCCACACTTTACCCCACCGCACGTGACCTGCCGACTGGTGCATCCATTAATACCCCTGGGTGGACAGGTGCGGGGTTAGTAAAGTTGTCTCATCGTTTGAACCGCCGTGCCGGGAGATTGAACCGGCAA